GTTGGGCAGGGTAGGCTCACTTCTCCTGGGGTGTGGGTGGCGATGACCCTGGGGTGAATTTCTCAGGTTCTGGAGCCTACACGTGTATGTGTGTGGCTTAGCCCCAGTCAGCACCATCCCCCAGTAAGGACCAGGAGCACAAGGTCGTCGCGCGCGCGCACACACAATTAGTTCCAGAACTAAGAGGCATGAGCTAAGAAGATAGGCTGCGGAAACTGCACCTCACATCGCTGGAAGACAGAAGAGTCCGGGTAGACATGATCACCCCATTCATAATTCTCAGTGAAATTGACAGGGTAGACAAGGATGGATTATTTAACATGGGTGGTACACGCACAAAGGCACACGGATGGAAGCTGAGCCCATAGAAAGACATGATTTACGTCTGATTGGAGGCTCGCCGTGTCCTCTATGTTGTCTACTCTCATGGAAATCCTAGTCATCAACAAAGGATGATACAGTGCTATAGGTTGTGTTCTGGTCTATGTCCAATATAAGGATGAGAAAAAGTACTGGAGCAAGCACAGTACCCTGGGGGACTGAGCTCTTCACGGTTGATGGTCCGAATTTTATTTTGTTGACTATTACACATTGGGTTCTGTTAGTCAGGAAATTGTAGATCCATCTGCCTATTTTTCCGGTAATTCCTTTTGAACGCATTTTATGTGCAATAACACCATGGTCACATTTGTCAAAGGCTATGCGAAATCTGTGTAAATTACATTAGTGTTTTGTCTTCCATGGTTGTTGAATTGAATTGAGCTGTTAAGAAACTAACCCAGCCATCCCTGTAGTGAAATTTTGAAGAACAGTTTGTTCTTACAGTCACGTAAAACAGAGCAAGCCGGGCTTGGGGGAGTAGAATAACTCCCAGTACCCCATCCAGGGACCATCCAGGGACCATCCAGGTACCATCCAGGTACCATCCAGGTACCATCCAGGGACCATCCAGGGACCATCCAGGGACCATCCAGGTACGCTCCAGGGACCAACCAGGTACCATCCAGGGACCATCCACACTCGGGGTGGCGAGTCACGGTCTCACCCATCTAACCCCATCTACAAAAAGTGAGGGAGGGAGGAAGGAGACTCCGTCTATTAGTGTCCCTGTCTCACACACCGCCTAAATTACTTCCCCATTTGTCATCCATGACAACGTCAGGAGTCGTCACTCAGGTCGTCAAGAGTAGACCACTGTCGCCCCAGCCTCTGACGATGCCTTCAGAGGCTGTAATTACTGCTCCAGTTAGCAAGACGGTGATTGGCCCTTCTCTAGTCGACGGAGGAGCCTATTGTACAGCTGAAACAATGTTTTAATCGAGCCTATACCAGGCCGTGATGGTATAGGCTCCGAGCCTATTGGGCCTTGAGAATAATATTTAAAGAGTATTAAAAATAAAAATAAACTAGTTTTTGTTTAATTATTGAATTATTTACGGGTGGACACGAGGCTGTCAACGTCAACATTGCAGTGCTTCAAAATTCCATAAACCACCGCAATTTATACGCTGGGGGAAATACTGCGTCATAAAGGCTGAGCATTCAAGTGAGAGGACAGGTTGGCGCATTACCTTGCTCGATGTTGCTAGTAGTGTTTAGACGGGTTGACGGGCGGAGTGAGGGACGGGCGGAGTGAGGGACGGGCTGACGGGCGGAGTGAGGGACGGGCTGACGGGCGGAGTGAGGGACGGGCTGACGGGCGGAGTGAGGGACGGGGAGAGTGAGGGGAAGGGGTGACGGGCGGAGTGAGGGAGAAGGGAAACCATACAGGGTCTAGAGTGCAGGTGTACCCATCTTCCAGCATCCAGACACGTGCACACAGAAGCACGTGTCAGGAGACAGGTGTGTCCAACACACAGGCACAGGTGCCAAGAGACAGGTGCGTCCAACACACAGGCACAGGTGCCAAGAGACAGGTGCGTCCAACACACAGGCACAGGTGCCAAGAGACAGGTGTGTCCAACATGCAGACACAGGTGCCAAGAGACAGGTGTGTCCAGCATGCAAACACAGGTGCCAAGAGACAGGTGTGTCCAGCATGCAAACACAGGTGCCAAGAGACAGGTGTATCCAGTATGCAGACACAGGTGCCAAGAGACAGGTGTATCCAGTATGCAGACACAGGTGCCAAGAGACAGGTGTATCCAGTATGCAGACACAGGTGTGTCCAGCATCCAGACACAGGTGTGTGTCCAACATGCAGACACAGGTGTCAGGACACAGGTGTGTCCAACATGCAGACACAGGTGTCAGGACACAGGTGTGTCCAACATGCAGACACAGGTGTCAGGACACAGGTGTGTCCAACATGCAGACACAGGTGTCAGGACACAGGTGTGTCCAACATGCAGACACAGGTGTCAGGACACAGGTGTGTCCAACATGCAGACACAGGTGTCAGGACACAGGTGTGTCCAACATGCAGACACAGGTGTCAGGACACAGGTGTGTCCAACATGCAGACACAGGTGTCAGGACACAGGTGTGTCCAACATGCAGACACAGGTGTCAGGACACAGGTGTGTCCAACATGCAGACACAGGTGTCAGGACACAGGTGTGTCCAACATGCAGACACAGGTGTCAGGACACAGGTGTGTCCAACATGCAGACACAGGTGTCAGGACACAGGTGTCAGGACACAGGTGTGTCCAACATGCAGACACAGGTGTCAGGACACAGGTGTGTCCAACATGCAGACACAGGTGTCATGACACAGGTGTGTCCAACATGCAGACACAGGTGCCAGGACACAGGTGTGGCCATTCTCGCAACTTTCGTCTTGAAAGAAAAGAAAATAAGGCAAAAGAATTTATGAAAACTCTTAGTGTGGGAAACCTTTAGCCGGATCCTGTGTCTTGGGATAGTGAGGGGGGGGGTCGAAGGAGGGGGTGGAGACGGGGTAGGAGAGGGAGGGGTAGGAGAGGGAGGGGGTAGAGGGGGATGGTCTGGGGCGGGGTTGAGCGTGTAACGTCTGGTCGCTTCACAAATACCTATCCACTCAACAAACTCGGATTTCTGGCGTTTTTTAGCGAGGTTGTGCCGCTGAGCCCCAGGGTGACCTCTGGCTCAGGTTAGCGAGGTCAGGATAGGCCGGGATAGCGGCGGAAGTAGCCCGGATAGGTACAGATGGCCAGGTCAGGGATCACGGTGTTGGAGAAGGCGGGGTAGTGGGGTGGGTGGGGGGGCAGGGAGCGGGAAGTAGACAGGGAGGGGGGAGGGGTGGGGGGGGGGGGTTGAGGTGCCTACACCTTCACTAACGTCAACACCCCAACACCATACTCTACACCACCACATCCTCCAAACATGCTCCACACACTCATGGGCCGTCAAGGCTCCGTCAAGCCACCCACCACCAAACAAGCCTTACAGACAACTTTCTCACCAGTTTTCTGACCGGTGACTTACCTGTGGCCAGCTTCAGTAACTCCAGAGTTCTCCCCCCCCCCCTCCCCTCCCCTGGTGACCGTCTGGCTCAAGTCAGACTTTCGCTCCCTGCGCATCGCTCCAGATGAAACATCAAATTATTAAAAACTCAATGACAAAGAAGCAAGCCTTTCAGAATATTAATAATAATAATAAAAGAGGTTCTGTGCGCAGAGGCCCACAATTTCTTACAAAGATCACGCGGAAACATTTTGTTTAAAAGAATGGTTCACAGCCTGCTAGTTTAACTTTAGAAAAGTAGACAGTAGTGAAGATTGGTACAGGGAACGGGAGGCTGTACACAAGTGTACCAAATGATGGGTGACACCATCCCTGGAAGGCAGTAGACAAAGGAGACGAAGACAAGTCTATACGACACTTGGAGTAACTGGGGTGTGTGGGGTCACAGACGGAGAGTGCTGGAGTGAGGGGTCACAGACGGAGAGTGCTGGAGTGAGGGGTCACAGACGGAGAGTGCTGGAGTGAGGGGTCACAGACGGAGAGTGCTGGAGTGAGGGGTCACAGACGGAGAGTGCCCGAGTGAGGGGTCACAGACGGAGAGTGCCCGAGTGAGGGGTCACAGACGGAGAGTGCTGGAGTGAGGGGTCACAGACGGAGAGTGCTGGAGTGAGGGGTCACAGACGGAGAGTGCCGGAGTGAGGGGTCACAGACGGAGAGTGCTGGAGTGAGCCACACAGACACCAGACACATGCTTAGTGCCTTAGGGTCATGAACACATGGCAAGTGAAGTGAGATGGTTGAAAAAGACTTCACTCACACTTTCAAATACATATATAACAACACACAAGACTTGAGCCTGTACACCATCCCGTGACAGGCCGCGAGGGGGAACAGACGGGTAGGTAAAGTACAATGTAGGGTACAGTGTACAGTTCGCAGTGTATAGGTACACTGAGAGAGAACTCTATCAACATCAGAGGCCCGAGACTGTTCAACACGCTTCCACTACACATAAGGGGCATAACTGGCCGACCCCTCACAGTGTTCAAGAAAGAACAGATTTAGGCTCTTTAGTCGGTCCCAATAGTTTAGATGTTTTACTGAGTGGATTCTAGCAGTAAAGGATCTCTGCACGCTCTCCAGGTCAGTAATTTCTCCAGCTTTGAAAGGGGCTGTCATTGTGCAGCAGTACTCCACTCTAGAGAGCACTAGCGTCTAGAAAAGTATCATCGGGAGGCCTGGTCGACGAACCGGGAGGCCTGGTCGACGAACCAGGAGGCCTGGTCGACGAACCAGGAGGCCTGGTTGACGAACCAGGAGGCCTGGTCGACGAACCAGGAGGCCTGGTCGACGAACCAGGAGGCCTGGTCGACGAACCAGGAGGCCTGGTCGACGAACCAGGAGGCCTGGTCGACGAACCAGGAGGCCTGGTCGACGAACCAGGAGGCCTGGTCGACGAACCAGGAGGCCTGGTCGACGACCGGGCCGCGGGGACGCTAAGCCCCGGAAGCACCTCAAGGTATCGGTATAGCATCTCTAGTGTGAAAGGTTCTTGTTATCCAACCTGTTATTTTTCTTACAGTTGTGACGGCTACTTTATTGTGTTCTTTAAAGGGACGCCGAGGGCTCCTACACCAGGGACGCCGAGGGCTTCTACACCAGGGACGCCGAGGGCTTCTACACCAGGGACGCCGAGGGCTCCTACACCAGGGACGCCGAGGGCTTCTACACCAGGGACGCCGAGGGCTCCTACACCAGGGACGCCGAGGGCTTCTACACCAGGGACGCCGAGGGCTCCTACACCAGGGACGCCGAGGGCTCCTACACCAGGGACGCCGAGGGCTCCTACACCAGGGCCGCCGAGGGCTCCTACACCAGGGACGCCGAGGGCTCCTACACCAGGGACGCCGAGGGCTCCTACACCAGGGACGCCGAGGGCTCCTACACCAGGGACGCCGAGGGCTCCTACACCAGGGACGCCGAGGGCTCCTACACCAGGGACGCCGAGGGCTCCTACACCAGGGACGCCGAGGGCTCCTACACCAGGGACGCCGAGGGGGTGGGGGTCACTTGAGGGCAGCAGGGAGGAGGTCAGGCGGGTGGCTGGGTCAGCTGAGGTCAAGCCAGAGGACCATAAAAGCACCTTTACCCCCAACAACTTCAGAAAGCAACAGTAGACCGATTAGGGAAGTTGTGACTGGGAAGACATCCTTTACCAGAGGTAGGGTGAGGGTGTGGGGGGTTGGGGTGTGGGGGGGGGTGGAGGTGTACCGGTCAGCTGACACTCCCCCCTCCCCCCGGAGACGGCCATGTAGGGCGCCGCGTGGGAGGACCTCCCCTCCCCCACTCCCCCCTCTGAGTGTCTGGGGTGCAGACACGCACAGGAATGTGGCAGGTTACGAACGACTCTCAACACACGAACACAGTCTTCGGAAACAACTATACACCGGTCCATTGTCGCTCCAGAGGCGGGACCCGAGCGCTGAAGCACAACCCCCCCCCCTGACCCAGAAAATGCAGAATAGAACCAGTGAAGAGCAGAGGTGCCATAGACACAATCAGAGAACACTGTATAACCATCAGAGGTCCGCGGTTGTTCAACACCCTTCCAGCGACTATAAGAAATATTGCCGGAACAACCGTGGACATCTTCAAGAAGTGCCGGACCAACCGGGCTGTGGTGGGTATGTGGGCCTGCGGGCCGCTCCAAGCAACAGCCTGGTGGACCAAACTCACCAGTCAAGCCTGGCCTCAGGTCAGGCTTGGGGTGTAGAACCCCCAGAACCCCATCAACCAGGTATGAAGCTGGTAAACCCCCCTTTGTGAACACAGCTAGACCACATTTACATTAAAGAAATAACCCTCCACATGAAAGTGACGACGTTTCAATCCATCTTTAGACCCTCTTATAAAGTCGTAACCAAGTGGAGGGGGGAGGTGGAGGGGTGAGGGGGGAGGGGGGAGGGGTTGAGGGGGGAGGGGTTGAGGGGGGAGGGGTTGAGGGGGGAGGGGTTGAGGGGGGGAGGGGTTGAGGGGGGGAGGGGGGACGGGTTGAGGGGGGAGGGGTAGTGAGGGAGATTTCTTTCAGCCTCGTTGCTTTATTTTTATTTTGCCCCGAGGGGCGAGTTTATTGGGCAGCGCCACTCATCCTGTGAGTGGACACACCGCCATAGTGACAGTATTGGGCAGCGTCACTCATCTTGTGAGTGGACACACCGCCATAGTGACAGTATTGGGCAGCGCTACTCATCCTGTGAGTGGACACACCGCCATAGTGACAGTATTGGGCAGCGCCACTCATCCTGTGAGTGGACACACCGCCATAGTGACAGTATTGGGTAGCGTCACTCATCCTGTGAGTGGACACACCGCCATAGTGACAGTATTGGGCAGCGCCACTCATCCTGTGAGTGGACACACCGCCATAGTGACAGTATTGGGTAGCGTCACTCATCCTGTGAGTGGACACACCGCCATAGTGACAGTATTGGGCAGCGCCACTCATCCTGTGAGTGGACACACCGCCATAGTGACAGTATTGGGCAGCGCCACTCATCCTGTGAGTGGACACACCGCCATAGTGACAGTATTGGGCAGCGCCACTCATCCTGTGAGTGGACACACCGCCATAGTGACAGTATTGGGTAGCGTCACTCATCCTGTGAGTGGACACACCGCCATAGTGACAGTATTGGGCAGCGCCACTCACTTTGTGAGTGGACACACCGCCATAGTGACAGTATTGGGCAGCGCCACTCATCCTGTGAGTGGACACACCGCCATAGTGACAGTATTGGGCAGCGCCACTCACTTTGTGAGTGGACACACCGCCATAGTGACAGTATTGGGCAGCGCCACTCATCTTGTGAGTGGACACACCGCCATAGAAGCATGTACAACACTCCCCAATAGGAAGAAAACCCGCTGGGTTGTTCATCCTGTCACTTGTACCCAGACACAGCTGGGACTTGCTTAACTGTCTCAAGTGAACAGCTCCTCAAACAAGAAGATGAACAGTCGTCATCCCTTAAAATCTTACGTTATCTTGCGGGTGCAAAATGGGGGAATCTTTTAAGAATAGTATCAATATTTGACAAATAGTGTTTCCTAACTCAAACAATGTGGGGTTTATTATTCTACACAACCTTTTGATGTCTCTCAGGTGTTCACATTCTCTCAGGTAGTGGTCAAGGCGGTGTCCGTCACTCTCACCACAGATTCTGCAACTTCGCTGATCAACTGTTGTTTCCATTCCATATCGCCATGGATATTTGTATCCAAGACGGATTCTTGCTATTACTGATTATCTCCCGCGGCCACCTCTTCTTCGTCCGTAATGATTGGGATTGCCAGCTGCAACCATGTTGTACCATCGTACAGATTCACTGGTTTGTGCTTCTATCCTCCTTTCCTCAGTTACCTTGTCACGGTGATGTTGCCTGATAATACCTCTAATTTGTAGTCGAGTCTTGGGTATGAAGTATTCAATATGGTCTCCTTCAGCGCCTTCAGCAGCCAGCACATCTGCTCGTTCATTCCCACATATTCCAACATGGGAGGGGAGCCACAGAAACTTGACTCTTCCCTGATTGGTTAGTACTCTCACAGCTAACTGTGAGTACTCTCTATTAGTACTCTAGTACTAGTACTAGTATTAGTACTCTAGTACACTAGTACTCTAGTACTAGTGACTGTGAGTCACTAACTGGTTAGTACTCTCACAGCTAACTGTAATATACTGGCAATATATACGGTAATACGGGAAAGTGGAGCTAGGAACTAGTAATAGAGTAAGTGAATAACATTGCAAGCCGGAAGAAAGCAGAAATTCCCATAGGATATTACAGGCACATAATCAGTGTATAAATCAAGTAACTGGCAACCAGTGACATCCTGGTTGGCCATCCTGCCCCCCCCCCCCCGACCTGGGACAAACAACGGTCAACTGGACGGTCCCAAGACGACCATATTTCTCCACAAGGCGATAAGTACCCCCACATAAACTTGAACAAATAAACATATGTAATATTATAAATATACTGGATACATATTATATATACATACATATAATACTTAAATATATGCATATATTATTATAACATCACAAACCCAACATGGAGGTGTGTGGAGGCTGCCTTAAGTCACTTCGGAAGAGTGTTGTAGGCATTGTATGTAACATTTGTAACATAAGGTTTCACCTGAGTTGGACAGGATTACCTACACAATATGCAAACCGGGAAGGTAACTACTGGATCTGTCAAAGAGACAGACAGTTGTGGGAAAACATCACCAAACTAATGAATAACATTCCTGAAGTACACAGGCTACAATTCACACAAAAACTACCAGAAATATATGCAGAGTATATAAAGACAGCAACGAACTCTGAACACAACCCAGGGACTGAGAAGTTAGAGAGTCAAAGTAGCAATGTAGAAGGGTATAGTGTCGAGGTACACAAAAATGAAGGCAATATTGTAGAGCACACTGGTGATATGAATAAGGAGAGAAAAAATGAGACGAATGAGAACACAAATGAGAAAGACGAAAGCAACAAGGAGAAAGATAAGGGCAATACCGAGAATGAATGCAGAAACGAGAAAGTTGGAACAAAAAACACAGAGGTAGCCAAGTCGTGCACGGGTACAAACAAGAATAATACAATCACAAATTAAAATATTTGCTGGTATTATGCAAAAGGACAGTGTAGATATGGGCCCAGAGGCACGGAATGCTCATTCATGCACCCACGGAAATGCCGAAACTGGTTAGGGAAAGGCAGATGTCGTTTTGATACAGAGTGTAGATATTTTCACCCTAAGCTATGCACACTCTCAGTCAATGAGAGGAAATGCTACGATCTTCACTGCCCCGATTTCCACGTCAGAGGTACACAGCGCCATATAAGAGAAGATTACCACAAACATAATAGCCCTGAAAATTTTTTAGAGGCAGGTACAAACAGAGGGAGAAACAGACAGGCAGAAACGTGGCAGGAGTACGGATGGAGAAGGGGAAATGCCCAAGACTGGACTACAGTTCGTCATCAAGCCCACACATACTACACCCCCCAACTACACAGAGACTACCACACTCCCCAGTATCACTTCCAAAACTGGACAAACCATTGCCACAACAACACACCCTGGGTCAGGGTAGAGAGGAGGGAGAACTACCAAAACCTTCCAGAAGTGACACACAATATGGACAATCATTCATATTTGCAAACATTCAAGGTTTAAAGCCAAAGTCAAGAAATAAAGTTAAGTTCATAAATGGCCTTCTATTAGAGTCAAACTCAATATTTGGGGCATTCACGGAAACTCATACAAAAGATTACATGGATGGTGAAATCTGGATTCCAAATTATAATCTATATAGATGTGATAGAAAAACTAGGTCAAATGGAGGAGTAGGTCTGTATATTAAAGAAGACCTGGTATGCACAGAACTATTAAATTCAACTAATGAGGTGGTAGAGGTACTTGGAATGAAGGTAGAGAAACTAAACCTAATTATTATTCTAATATATAAACCGCCAGATACAACGATTGAGGAATTCACAGAACAGATGCACAAAATAGAGAACATACTTGACAACCTAGCAAACCCAGCTCCAGATATTATCTTTCTTCGAGATTTCAATTTACCGAGTCTAAGATGGAGAACGGCAAACACAAATATCATAGCAGGGAATGACCCGGGAAATAACCAACCACAGGTTAGAGAACTTTTGAGATTCTGTGACAAATTCTCGCTCAATCAACAGATTACAGAACCAACTAGGAACGAAAACACACTAGACTTGTTATTCACAAACAATGATGAACTAATCAGGGATATCACAATCTCAGATACTTCATACTCAGACCATAAGCTCATTGAAGTGCGAACTAGCATAAATAACGGTAGTAGGTCTAAGAGACCCAACAAGCGAGAAGGAATATTCAATCAATTCAATTTCAACAATAAGAGGATTGACTGGGAAAAAATAAATGTAGACCTTGCAACCATTCAATGGGAGACGGTCTTAAGCGACAAAACTCCCACACAGGGAATAGCTCAACTGACAGCTGAAGCTTACAAGGTCTGCTTGAAGCACGTACCTGTGAGGAGGGGCAGAAAGAGGACCACTCTAGAAAGAGAACGGAGACGACTGTACAGGAGAAGGAAAAAAATAACGGAAATGCTTCGGCAGACACAACTATCACAAGCAAGGAAAACAAGCCTAAGCAAGGAAAACAAGCCTAAGCAGGGAGATTGAGGAAATAGAACAAACGTTGAAGCGATCATATGAGTCTGAGGAAATGGAATTGGAACAGAAAGCTATACAAGAGATAAGGAAAAATCCGAAATATTTTTTCACATACGCAAAATCAAAATCCAAAACCTCGACCAGTATTGGACCGTTAATTACAAATGAAGGTACGTACACAGAGGACAACAAAGAGATTAGTGAAATTCTAAGAAGCCAGTATGAGGCTATGTTTAGCACACCAATAAACAACATGAAAGTTGATGACCCAGACAGCTTCTTTATGAATGACATTCAAGCTGCAGATAATATAACGGATATTACCACAAACTCGGAAGACTTTGAAAGAGAAATTGATAATATGCCTATGCACTCAGCTCCTGGGCCTGACTCATGGAATTCAATATTCATAAAGAAATGTAAAGTACCAGTAGCGAGAGCACTCAGCGTAATATGGAGAAAGAGCCTGGATACAGGGGAGATACCAGCAGCACTTAAATCTGCAGATATAGCTCCGTTGCACAAGGGGGGGAGTAAAGCCTTGGCAAAAAATTATAGGCCAGTTGCACTAACATCACACATAATAAAAGTGTTTGAAAGAGTGATTAGGAATCAAATTTCTAGTTTTATGGAAAACAATGAATTGCACAATCCAGGACAACATGGATTTAGAGCGGGAAGATCCTGTCTGTCACAGTTACTCAACCACTATGACAAAATCACAGAAGCCCTAGAAGAAAAGCAAAATGCAGATGTTGTATACACAGACTTTGTAAAGGCGTTCGACAAATGTGACCATGGGGTGATAGCTCACAAAATGAGGTCAATGGGAATAACTGGAAAAGTAGGACGCTGGATACTCAATTTCCTGTCGAACAGAACACAAAGAGTAACAGTCAATCAGATAAAATCGAGTCCAAGCGATGTTAAAAGCTCTGTACCTCAAGGTACAGTCCTTGCACCGCTACTGTTCCTTATTCTCATATCTGATATAGACAAAAATACACGCCACAGCTTCGTGTCGTCCTTTGCAGATGACACAAAAATCAGCATGAAAATTACCTCTGCTGAAGACATTGAAAAACTACAAGCAGATGTCAACAAAGTTTTTGATTGGGCAGCAGAAAATAACATGATGTTTAACAGTGATAAATTTCAGGTACTCAGGTACGGCAAAAATGAGGATCTGAAACATAATACAGGGTACAAAACACAATCGAATCTTCCCATAGTAGGAAAACAGCATGTCAAGGATTTGGGAATAATGATGTCCGACGATCTAACGTTTAGGGAGCATAACCAAGCAAATATCGCGTCAGCCAGAAAAATGATCGGATGGATTACGAGAACTTTCAAATCCAGGGATCCCATCACAATGGTTGTACTCTTCAAGTCACTTGTGCTGTCCCGTCTCGAGTACTGCTCAGTACTCACTTCCCCCTTCAGAGCAGGAGAGATTGCTGAAATAGAGGGAATACAGAGAACATATACGGCACGCATAGACGAGATAAAACACCTAAATTATTAGGATCGTCTCAAAGCTCTCCAAATGTACTCTCTAGAAAGGAGACGAGAGAGATACCAAATAATATACACCTGGAAAATACTGGAGGGTCAGGTCCCAAATCTACACAGTAAAATAACAACGTACTGGAGTGAACGATATGGAAGAAAATGCAAGATTGAACCAGTGAAGAGCAGAGGTGCCATAGACACAATCAGAGAACACTGTATAAACATCAGAGATCCACGGTTGTTCAACGTCCTCCCAGCGAGCATAAGAAATATTGCCGGAACAACCGTGGACATCTTCAAGAGAAAACTGGACGGTTTTCTAAGAGAAGTTCCGGATCAGCCGGGCTGTGGTGGGTACGTGGCCCTGCGGGCCGCTCCAAGCAACAGCCTGGTGGACCAAACTCTCACAAGTCGAGCCTGGCCTCGGGCCGGGCTTGGGGAGTAGAAGAACTCCCAGAACCCCATCAACCAGGTATCAACCAGGTATCAACCAGCTCTCATGATCTCAGCGAATATCTCAAGATTTTCTGCTCGATTTTTAATAAGGCCTTGAAGCGCTGCTTTAAAGTCAGTGCAGATCACTGCACCGTTAATGCTTCGTTCAAGGAATCTTAATGCCGTAACAATGGCAGTTAGCTCTGCTTGTGTTCAAGAGGCATAGTTCTCAACACGGGATTTTCCTTCATTTCCACGTTGAAAGGTATTATTCCTAATTACAGTGTATGCTGCACCAGCCCTGCCATTGACAGGGTTAGATGACCCGTCAGTGTAGATTTGTGCGACTAACATTCTTCACCGAGAATGAAGAGACTAACATTCTTCTTCTTCATCATTCTTCACCGTAACATTTTTACGGTGCTAAGTGGACGGAAGAGACCACGTGAGAATGACAAACGCACCGCAGGAAGAGCTGGATAGGTTCCAGGGCCGATCGGAGAAATGGCTTATAGACTTCAACCCAGATGAATGCATGGCTATGAGAACTGAACAACAACCCCCGAGTCATTTTGTCTACTTGACCGAGATATAATTCCTTCGGCATGATAGCGGCGAGAACATCGAAGAAACAAAGAAACGGGGACACAGTGCGTGACATGACTGACAAGTAACACAGACAGAAGCAGGTAAAACTCCCACGCCCCTCACACACTCCCCCAGCCTATATACACCCCCACCCCAAGTCCCCGGCGCCCCCCCCCCCCCCAAGTCCCCGGCGCCCCCCCCCCCAAGCCCCCGGCGCCCCCCCCCCCAAGCCCCCGGCGCCCCCCTAAGCTCCCGGCGGCCCCCTACACCTTCAGTAAACTTGAGGCCACCCAGAGGTACACTATATTATGCACACCTGGGAATCATTAAATATAAACGCGTAAAATGTTGCAAGTTGCTTCCGGGTAAACTGCAAACTTGCACTCAGACCTTAGGTAAACACGTTAATTACTCAGGTAAACTCTATTCCACCAGCTGTGTCTTCTTCAGGTGTGGGCGGCAACAGTCCTCACTGCAGGTGTGGGCGGGGGAGGCGCGAGCAAGACAGGTGTGGGCGGGCGGGACGAACAGCCAACGGCCACACATTCCAGCACGCTGCGCACCTGTCTCCCCTACACCCGTCTCGCAGAGCACCTGTCCCGCCCAATACTGTCCGCCAGAGCACCTGTCCCCGCCCAACCTGCCCAGCGGCTCGCTCATTAATTACTTCCGCTAGAAATCAACATTCGGATCAATATGAAGAAAAAAGAGGGAAATTATACTAAGCTTTAACAGATGTCACGAGCAGATAAGGGCGAATTAACGAGCAGACAAGGGCGAATTAACGAGCAGACAAGGGCGAATGTAACGAGCAGACAAGGGCGAATGTAACGAGCAGACAAGGGCGAATTAACGAGGAGACAAGGGCGAATTAACGAGCAGACAAGGGCGAATTAACGAGCAGACAAGGGCGAATTAACGAGCAGACAAGGGCGAATTAACGAGCAGACAAGGGCGAATTAACGAGCAGACAAGGGCGAATTAACGAGCAGACAAGGGCGAATTAACGAGCAGACAAGGGCGAATTAACGAGCAGACAAGGGCGAATTAACGAGCAGACAAGGGCGAATTAACGAGCAGACAAGGGCGAATTAACGAGCAGACAAGGGCGAATTAACGAGGAGACAAGGGCGAATTAACGAGGAGACAAGGGCGAATTAACGAGGAGACAAGGGCGAATTAACGAGGAGACAAGGGCGAATTAACGAGGAGACAAGGGCGAATTAACGAGGAGACAAGGGCGAATTAACGAGGAGACAAGGGCGAATTAACGAGGAGACAAGGGCGAATTAACGAGGAGACAAGGGCGAATTAACGAGGAGACAAGGGCGGTCAGAGATCTGAGACAAATGTCTGAAACACGAGATTGTGACAAATCTTCGCTTAACGAGCAGAAACCCGAGCGAACGAGGAGCCAACATATATATACCCAAGAACGCGACTCTTGCCAACCAACCTTACCTTGAGGTAAAGGCAACCTTACCTTGAGGTAAAGACAACCTTACCTTACCTTGAGGTAAAGACAACCTTACCTTACCTTGAGGTAAAGACAACCTTACCTTTACCTTACCAGACAACCAGGAGACATTATATACTCAAGTCACAAAACACATTCACATACAAACTAACATCAATACTCGTATCATCAAGCGTGAAGGGTTATTCAATAACTTCAATGTTAATAATATGAGCATAAACTGAAAATAATAAACAAAGAACTCGCAAAGATGCGATGGGAGCCGTCTTACGTCGCAACTCCCACGCAAGACACGGAACAATTGCGTGCAGACGCATACGAAGCCTGCTCCAAACATGTTCCTTTTGTGGAAGACAAAAATCGTGGAACTGATTACGAAGACGCGATTATCCCAACAAAGAAAAACAAATAACTAACAGTGAAATTGCAGAAATAGCGCGGAAGCTGAAGCAATCATCTCAGACTGGAGCCGTGAAATTGGAACAAAAGCCGTGCAAGAGATGAGCAAGAGATGAGCAAGAGATGAGCAAGAGATGAGCAAGAGATGAGGAGCAATCCAAAATATTTCCTCACATAGGCGAAATCAAAATAAAAAAAAATCTATACTTACACAAACGATAACAAAGAAATTAGTGAAATTTGAAAAGATGAACGAGGCTATGCTTTTGCAACCCCCCCCCCTATCACCATAAACAAAATGAAAGTTAAAGATTCAGACAGCTTCTTAGTGAATAACATCCAAACCCCTGAGAATGTAACTGATATCAACACATTGTAGATTTGGAGAGATATTGACAACATGCCCGGGCACTTGGCCCCGGAACTGGAGCCGAGTGTAGACCCTTGGAATTCCATATTTATAAAGAAATGTAAAATTAAAGTAGCAGGAGCTCTCAGAGTAGTTTGAAGAAAAAGCAAGACACCAGAAGCGCTTAAATCAGCAGATACACCTCCACTACACGAGGGAGGGAGCAAAGCACTGGCATAAAACAACAGACTAACATCACGTGTAATAGAAGTTTGAACAGCCCAGTTCAATTACTATGACAAAAATCAAGGAAGCACTAGACGAAATGGAAAATACAGATGTGTTGACCAGACCACACACTAGAAGGTGAAGGGACGACGACGTTTTGGTCCGTCCTGGCCCATTCTCAAGTCGATACAGATGTGGTTATACACAGAATTTGCAAACGCACTTGTTAGATGTGATCATGGAGTGGCAGCTAATAAAATGAGTTCCGTAGGAATAACGGGTAATGCAGGCAAATAGTATTCAATTTCCTGACAAACAGAATGCAAAGATTAACTAAGTCAAATCCAAGCGTAGTTAAAATCTGTGTACCACAGGGCACAGTCCTTGCACCACTGTTTACCATATTCTCATATTAAATATAAACAAATATACAAATCACAGCTTCGTGTCATCTTTTACAGATGACACAAAAATCTCAACCAAAATTCCTGCTGCAGTGGACGTTGAATAACAACAAGGCGATATTAATAAAGTATTCGACTGCACAACGGAAAATAACATGATGTTTAACAGTGATAAATTCCATGTATTTAGGTATGGGCAAAATGAGGCCCTTACACGAAATGCAAGATACAATCATATCTGATAGTAGGAAAACCACATGTAAAGGACGTGTGAATAATGAGGTGTGACGCCCTGACATTTAGTGAACATAACCGAACACATATAGCGGCGGCGGCCAGGAAAATTTGCTTGGTTATGCTCCCTAAACGTTAGGTCGTCAGACATCCTCAGTCCCAAATCTTCCGGGTTCTTCACCTAGATCCTCTAGTAGGGTTGAGCGCTAGCTCCTAAGCCCCCAGCTCTTTTTTCCGGAATTAAGAAAAATGCTGGACATATAGCAGGTTCCCGGCGAGGCTGCTATACTCATTGTGCTATAGAAACCGTCCACAGGTATTTCTCTCTCTCATTATATTAAAAAAAAATTACTTGACAGACAGACAGACAGACAGACTTCGCGTATCCTTAAAAATATTTCTGTTTCGCGGACCTCGTTGCCAGCTGAGCTTCGGGCAAGAATGGTCATGATTAGAAAAACATTGCAATGTACTGCCAAATGATGACATGTTGCAACAACGTTCAGACAGGTTGTGCAATGTTGATGTGTTGCATAATAAAGATGCTTGCTGTTGCATAATGTTGGCATGTTTCACATTATGTTGCGAGAATGTTAAATGTTGAGGTGTTGAGCGTATGAAGAATTTGAAGGTTGTTGTATCAGGCTCCCATACACGAAGGTCCTGTATGAGGCTCCCATACACGAAGGTGCTGTATGAGGCTCCCATACACAAAGGTGCTGTATGAGGCTCCCATACACGAAGGTGTTGTATGAGGCTCCCATACACGAAGGTGTTGTATGAGGCTCCCATACACAAAGGTGTTGTATGAGGCTACCATACACGAAGGTGCTGTATGAGGCTCCCATACACAAAGGTGCTGTATGAGGCTCCCATACACAAAGGTGCTGTATGAGGCTCCCATACACAAAGGTGTTGTATGAGGCTCCCATACACGAAGGTGTTGTATGAGGCTCCCATACACAAAGGTGTTGTATGAGGCTCCCATACACGAAGGTGCTGTATGAGGCTCCCATACACAAAGGTGCTGTATGAGGCTCCCATACACAAAGGTGCTGTATGAGGCTCCCATACACAAAGGTGCTGTATGAGGCTCCCATACACAAAGGTGTTGTATGAGGCTCCCATACACGAAGGTGCTGTACGAGCCCGCGGCCCGGTCTCCGACCAGGCCTCCTGGTTGTGATGCAAGATGACCATTGCACGGTGTCGTCGCAGGGTGCAGTCTCCCGTGTGCAGTCTCAATCCGGACGAGCGTTGCAAAATTGCCCCCCCCCCACCCCCACTGATCGAGTATTTCCTGTGTTGTGGGAGGATAATGTTTCCTGTATTGAGAGGAAATTTCCTGTGCTCTGGGAGGAGATTTCCCGTATTATAGGAATATGAGTGAATACAAGGTTACAGGAGTCGTATTGGGCAGCGTCACTCATCCTGTGAGTGAACATGCGGCCTCAGGGGGTAGTATTGGGCAGCGTCACTCATCCTGTGAGTGAACATACGGCCTCAGGGGGTAGTATTGGGCAGCGTCACTCATCCTGTGAGTGAACATACGGCCTCAGGGGTAGTATTGGGCAGCGTCACTCATCCTGTGAGTGAACATACGGCCTCAGGGGTAGTATTGGGCAGCGTCACTCATCCTGTGAGTGAACATACGGCCTCAGGGGGTAGTATTGGGCAGCGTCACTCATCCTGTGAGTGAACATACGGCCTCAGGGGGTAGTATTGGGCAGCGTCACTCATCCTGTGAGTGAACATGCGGCCTCAGGGGGTAGTATTGGGCAGCGTCACTCATCCTGTGAGTGAACATGCGGCCTCAGGGGGTAGTATTGGGCAGCGTCACTCATCCTGTGAGTGAACATACGGCCAAACAGCACATGCCCAACAGCCCCCCTCCACAAATAAAAAGAAAACCCGTTGGGTTGTTGCAGATAACTAAGAGATGTGTTGGGAGCGGTGGGTAATACAGTCAGGTGGGGGAGGGTGGTGCATGCAGCACCCCTGAACCTGTAGTTGTGGGAGTACTTTGAATATTGAACAGTACTGGGTGTAGTTTGGCGTTCATCTTGCAGGTCGTTTTGAAGTACTATCGGCTACTGGGCTCTATCACCAACCCGCCCTCTTAAAAATAATGTAACTTTTCGCTCGTATGCGCGCTATGGCCAAATTTGGACGTAATTTGAAATGAAATCGACTCACAAAAGTGACGTACTGTTCTGTTTTCTGTTTGAGTCGTCCGGCTTACTCGGCCAGCTTAGAAAAGGATTCTTTCCATTAACGCTTTTCATACCGTTTTGAAACTTTATGAGAATTTCGTATCATACCTACATTTGAGCTCTGACTCTTTGGTCCCGCCTCTCAACTGTCAATCAACTGGTGTACAGATTCCTGAGCCTACTGGGCTCTATCATATCTACATTTCAAACTGTGTATGGAGTCAGCCTCCACCACATCACTGCCTAATGCATTCCAATTGTTATCTACTCTGACACTGAAGAAATTCTTCCTAATGTCTCTGTGGCTCATTTGGGTACTAAGTTTCCACCTGTGTCCCCTTGTTCGTGATCCACCCGTGCTGAAGAGTTTGTCATTATCCACCCTGTCAATTCCCCTGAGAATTTTGTAGGTGACGATCATGTCTTCCCTTACTCTTCTGTCTTCCAGGGATGTGAAGTTCAGCTCTTTTAGCCTTTCATCGTAGCTCATACGGCTCAGTTCCGGGACAAGTCTGGTGGCATACCTCTGAATCTTCTCTAACTTTATCTTGTGTTTAACTAGGAATGGAGTCCAGGCTGGAGCTGCATATTCCAGGATTGGTCTGATTTAAGTGGTATAAAAGGTCTTGAACAATTCCTTACACAAGTTTTCAAAGGCAGTGCTTATGTTGACCAATGTAGCATATGCCTCTGATGATATGCTTTTCATGTAGGCCTCTGGGGACAGGTTCGGTGTGATATCAACCCCCAGATGTTTCTCTCTTTTTGACTTGTAAGATTTCACCTCCCAGATGGTACCTTGTGTTCAGCCTCCTGCTCCCTTCGCTGAATTTCATCACTTTACACTTTTCTGAGTTGAACTTTAGTCGACATTTTCTAGACCATTCCTCCAATTTGTCCAGGTCATCCTGTAGTCTCTATATTCATCTGTCTTGATTCTTCTCATAATTTTTGCACCATCAGCAAACACTGAGAGGAATGAGTCTATACCTTCTGGATGGTCGTTCACATATATTAGAAAACAGGGTGGGTCCAAGTACTGAGCCCTGTGGGACTCCGCTGGTGACATCTCGCCACTCTGATGTCTTCCCCCTCACCGTTACTCGCTGTTTCCTGTTGCTTAAGTACTCCCTTATCCACTGGAGCACCTTCCCTTTTACTCCTGCCTGTTGCTCCAACTTTTTTAACAGCCTTTTGTGAGGAACTGTGTCAAAGGCTTTCTGACGGTCCAAGAAAATGAAGTCTGCCTACCTTTCTTTTTCTTGCCTTGTCATAGAATTCTATTAAACCTGTGAGGCACGATTTACCATCTCTGAACCCATGTTGGTGGTGTGTTACAAAGTTATTTCCCTCCAGATGCTCTACGAGCCTTTTCCTCACAATCTTCTCCATCACCTTGCATGGTATACAAGTTAGGGAAACTGGCCTGTAGTTCAGTGCCTCTTGCCTGTCACCCTTTTTGTATATTTGGACCACGTTAGCTGTCTTCCAACTTTCTGGTAGGTCTCCTGTTTCCAATGACCTGTTATACACCGTAGAGAGTGGCAAACTTAACAGGAAGCAACCGGTAACAGCTGTCTACCTCCCAGGTACCTATTTTCTGCCAGGGTAACAGGGGTCCATCATTGTGAAAGAAACTGCCCATTTTGTTTCTGCCATCACTGGGGATCGAACCCGGACCCTAGAATTACGAATCCAGAGCGCTGTCCACTCAGCTCTTGGGCCCCCAGCTGCGGGAGCGGGCCCTCTCATCTTGGCAGTAATTCTTCCAGTCTTCTAACATGAAGTTCGTGTTCTACAACATTCCTGTTGTAGCCTGATGTATTGTGGTTGTATATACAGGGTGAAGGGGGGAGGGACGTGTTCGTTCATGTTGTTGTGGGTGGTGGGGGTGGAGGGGCGGGGTCAGGGAGAGGTGTGTGGGGGGGAAAGGGGGTGAAGATAGTGTTGGTACAGGGGGGGAGTGGGCAGACGTTCTCTCACCACACAGGAATGTGAGGCGTTGTCACCCAGCCCGCCTGTACCTGCTCCCCCTCCCCCCTCCCCTCCCCCCCACCTCTCCCTCCTTCCATTACCGTCTGTCTCACTTCCTCCTCGCATCTCTCTCCGTCTATATCCCCCTTCACTGTAATCATCCTTCCTTCCTTCCTTCCTTCCTCTGCGCTTTCCCACCCTTATCCACCCCTCTTCCTACATGCCTCATGTCCCCTTATAACCCCTCCCAGGAAGACTACCTCCCTACAACCCCTCCCAGATACCTGCTTGATGGGGTTCTGGGAGTTGTTCTACTCCCCAAGCCCGGCCCGAGGCCAGGCTTGACTTGTGAGAGTTTGGTCCACCAGGCTGTTGCTTGGAGCGGCCCGCAGGCCCACATACCCACCACAGCCCGGTTGGTCCGGAACTTCTCTTAGAAAACAATCTAGTTTTCTCTTGAAGATGTCCACGGTTGTTCCGGCAATATTTTTTATAGTCGCTGGGAGGGTGTTGAACAACCGCGGACCTCTGATGTTTATACAGTGTTCTCTGATTGTGCCTATGGCACCTCTGCTCTTTACTGGTTCAATCTTGCATTTTCTTCCATATCGTTCACTCCAGTACGTTGTTATTTTACTGTGTAGATTTGGGACCTGGCCCTCCAGAATTTTCCATGTGTATATTATTTGGTATCTCTCTCGTCTCCTTTCTAGAGAGTACATTTGGAGAGCTTTGAGACGATCCCAATAATTTAGGTGTTTTATCTCGTCTATGCGTGCCGTATATGTTCTCTGTATTCCCTCTATTTCAGCAATCTCTCCTGCTCTGAAGGGGGAAGTGAGTACTGAGCAGTACTCGAGACGGGACAGCACAAGTGACTTGAAGAGTACAACCATTGTGATGGGATCCCTGGATTTGAAAGTTCTCGTAATCCATCCGATCATTTTTCTGGCTGACGCGATATTTGCTTGGTTATGCTCCCTAAACGTTAGATCGTCGGACAACATTATTCCCAAATCCTTGACATGCTGTTTTTCTACTATGGGAAGATTCGATTGTGTTTTGTACCCTGTATTATGTTTCAGATCCTCGGTTTTGCCGTGCCTGAGTACCTTTAATTTATCACTGTTAAACATCATGTTATTTTCTGCTGCCCAATCGAAAACTTTGTTGACATCTGCTTGTAGTTTTTCAATGTCTTCAGCAGAGGTAATTTTCATGCTGATTTTTGTGTCGTCTGCAAAGGACGACACGAAGCTGTGACTTGTGTTTTTGTCTATCAGATATGAGAATAAGGAACAGGAAGACTACCTCCCTACAACCTCTCCCAGGAAGACTACCTCCCCTACAACCTCTCCCAGGAAGACTACCTCCCTACAACCTCTCCCAGGAAGACTACCTCCCTACAACCTCTCCCAGGAAGACTACCTTCCTACAACCTCTCCCAGGAAGACTACCTCCCTACAACCTCTCCCAGGAAGACTACCTCCCCTACAACCTCTCCCAGGAAGACTACCTCCCCTACAACCTCTCCCAGGAAGACTACCTCCCTACAACCTCTCCCAGGAAGACTACCTCCCTACAACCTCTCCCAGGAAGACTACCTCCCCTACAACCTCTCCCAGGAAGACTACCTCCCCTACAACCTCTCCCAGGAAGACTACCTCCCCTACAACCTCTCCCAGGAAGACTACCTCCCCTACAACCTCTCCCAGGAAGACTACCTCCCCTACAACCTCTCCCAGGAAGACTACCTCCCCTACAACCTCTCCCAGGAAGACTACCTCCCCTACAACCTCTCCCAGGAAGACTACCTCCCTACAACCACACCCAGGAAGACTACCTACCCTACAACCTCTCCCAGGAAGACTACCTCCCCTACAACCTCTCCCAGGAAGACTACCTCCCTACAACCTCTCCCAGGAAGACTACCTCCCTACAACCTCTCCCAGGAAGACTACCTCCCCTACAACCTCTCCCAGGAAGACTACCTCCCCTACAACCTCTCCCAGGAAGACTACCTCCCCTACAACCTCTCCCAGGAAGACTACCTCCCCTACAACCTCTCCCAGGAAGACTACCTCCCCTACAACCTCTCCCAGGAAGACTACCTCCCATACAACCTCTCCCAGGAAGACTACCTCCCCTACAACCTCTCCCAGGAAGACTACCTCCCTACAACCTCTCCCAGGAAGACTACCTCCCTACAACCTCTCCCAGGAAGACTACCTCCCCTACAACCTCTCCCAGGAAGACTACCTCCCCTACAACCTCTCCCAGGAAGACTACCTCCCTACAACCTCTCCCAGGAAGACTACCTCCCCTACAACCTCTCCCAGGAAGACTACCTCCCTACAACCTCTCCCAGGAAGACTACCTCCCTACAACCTCTCCCAGGAAGACTACCTCCCCTACAACCTCTCCCAGGAAGACTACCTCCCCTACAACCTCTCCCAGGAAGCCACTGGAAGAAGCATCATGAACCAGAACATATATTTACAAGCAGATGCGACACAGGGAACACAACCCCGGGGAACCGCGCCACAACAGCAGCCTTGTGGATCAATTTCTCAAGGCAAGCCTGGCCCGTGACACCCCAGCTCCTCATAGTGTCCCCACACCTGGCCCGTGACACCCCTGCTCCTCATAGTGTCCTCACACCTGGCCCGTGACACCCCTGCTTCTCATAGTGTCCCCACACCTGGCCCGTGACACCCCTGCTCCTCATAGTGTCCCCACACCTGGCCCGTGACACCCCTGCTCCTCATAGTGTCCTCACACCTGGCCCGTGACACCCCTGCTCCTCATAGTGTCCTCACACCTGGCCCGTGACACCCCAGCTCCTCATAGTGTCCCCACACCTGGCCCGTGACACCCCTACTCCTCATAGTGTCCCCACACCTGGCCCGTGACACCCCTGCTCCTCATAGTGTCCTCACACCTGGCCCGTGACACCCCAGCTCCTCATAGTGTCCCCACACCTGGCCCGTGACACCCCTGCTCCTCATAGTGTCCCCACACCTGGCCCGTGACACCCCAGCTCCTCATAGTGTCCTCACACCTGGCCCGTGACACCCCTGCTCCTCATAGTGTCCTCACACCTGGCCTGTGACACCCCTACTCCTCATAGTGTCCTCACACCTGGCCCGTGACACCCCTGCTCCTCATAGTGTCCTCACACCTGGCCCGTGACACCCCTACTCCTCATAGTGTCCTCACACCTGGCCCGTGACACCCCTACTCCTCATAGTGTCCTCACACCTGGCCCGTGACACCCCTACTCCTCATAGTGTCCTCACACCTGGCCCGTGACACCCCTGCTCCTCATAGTGTCCTCACACCTGGCCTGTGACACCCCTACTCCTCATAGTGTCCTCACACCTGGCCCGTGACACCCCTGCTCCTCATAGTGTCCTCACACCTGGCCCGTGACACCCCTACTCCTCATAGTGTCCTCACACCTGGCCCGTGACACCCCTACTCCTCATAGTGTCCTCACACCTGGCCCGTGACACCCCTACTCCTCATAGTGTCCTCACACCTGGCCCGTGACACCCCTGCTCCTCATAGTGTCCTCACACCAGGCCCGTGACACCCCTGCTCCTCATAGTGTCCTCACACCTGGCCCGTGACACCTCTACTCCTCATAGTGTCCTCACACCTGGCCCGTGACACCCCTGCTCCTCATAGTGTCCTCTCACCTGGCCCGTGACACACCTGCTCCTCATAGTGTCCTCACACCTGGGCCGTGACACACCTGCTCCTCACAATGTCCTCACACCTGGCCCGTGACACCCCTGCTCTTCACAATGTCCTCACACCTGGCCCGTGACACCCCTGCTCCTCACAATGTCCTCACACCTGGCCCGTGATACCCCTGCTCCTCACAATGTCCTCACACCTGGCCCGTGACACCCCTGATCCTCACACCTGGCCCATGACACCCCTGATCCTTACACCTGGCCCGTGACACCCCTGATCCTCACAATGTCCTCACACCTGGCCCGTGACTCCCCCCTCCCCCCTGCTCCTCACAGGACAGTAAGGACAAAGTTGCTTGGGTTCTTAACCGAGAACTAATTAGCCAGGTCCCCGAGTCCTCGTGAGTATAGAGAACTCAGATATATCCTGGTCTTTAACACGAATGTTAGATCTGAGCAGTATACCAGATGAGGGGGAAAGTACCAGTATACCAGACGGGAACATATGGACATTGCTGTTTTCACCCTGATGTCACTGTTCACCTAGCAGTAAATAGGTACTTTGGAGCTGCTAAGGGCTGTTTCCTGTGTGCGCGCGTGTGTACTCACCTAATGAACACACACACACACACCTGTCTGTGTGTGTGTGTGTGTGTGTGTGTGTGTGTGTGTGTGTGTGTGTGTGTGTGTGTGTGTGTGTGTGTGTGTGTGTGTGTGTGTGTGTGTGTGTGAGAGAGAGAGAGAGAGAGAGAGAGAGAGAGAGAGAGAGAAGGAGAGCGCGCACACACCACAAGTGGAGGCACCAACCAGACCAGGAGAGGGACAAACAGACCCGTGTTACAGGGGAAACACAGCACAGATAAAAGGCATGACAATCACTGACTAAACACAGGTGATAACAGCTTCTGTCTACCGAGTGACGGGGAGGGGGAGACGGGGGGAGAGGGGGAGACGGGGGGGGGAGGGGAGACAACAGGCATGGAGGGGGGGAAGGAGAGGGAGCCGGGGAGAGCGGCGAAGGCAGTTTGGGAGGACATTTAGGAGTCTAGGCCAGGATACAATCACCACCTTCCTCACCTGAGGTACGAGGCGCTCTGGCTTGGCCACCTGGCGTGTACCTGGCGTGTACCTGGGAGAGTACCTGGGAAAGTACCTGGAAGGGATTCTGGAAGAAATTGTTCTCCCCTCAGTGGCTCCACACTCGACCCATTGTGGTGGTGGCGGTGCAGGGTGATGGTAGTCGTGGTGGTGATAGTGATAGAGGTGACTGGTGGTGGTGGTGGTAGATGTAGTGGTGGTGGCGGTGGTGGTGGCGGTGGTGGTGATGATAGATGTGGTGGTGATGGTGGTGGTGGCGCAGGTGCCGTGCCAGGGGCGGCCTCCGGGCCCCAGGCATCAAGGAAGCAGTAAGGCTGGCGGGTAAGGCCGTGTAAGCGGGTAAAAGGAGGGACAAACGACTCCATTAGAGGCGATTTAGGCGTCGTTGGGGAGTAGTGGCAGTGGCGGCGGCGGCGCAGGTGGTGGTGGTGGTGGTGGATGTGGCGCAGTTGGTGGTGGTGGTGGCGCAGGTGGTGGTGGTGGTGGCGCAGTTGGTGGTGGTGGTGGCGCAGGTGGTGGTGGTGGTGGTGGTGGTGCAGGTGGTCATGAAGTAGGTGGTGTGTGTACCTAACAGTTACTACGGGGGTGAGCCACACACCTACTGGTACTTGGTGCTTTAAATTGTAACATTCGCGACGTTCTTGACGCGACGACAACAATCGCGTTCCTTGTGGTACCCTGGTCTTGTGGATGGAGGTGCCTTCCACAGCTGCTGCCTACGGTGCATGCCACTTGCGGACCACCAGTACAACGGAGGTCCCTTGTACTGGTGGTCCAGTACACCACCGGTACAAAGTGAGGGTATTGTACTCGCTCGCGTTTCCAGCTTCCACCTCTGTCCTCTTGTCACGTGAATTCAGTAGAGCTTCAGCAGATTGAGCGAAGGAAGAAGTAGTAATGATGGAGCATATGTGGTGGTGGTGGAGCATATGTGGTGGTGGTGGAGCATATGTGGTGGTGGTGGAGCATATGTGGTGGTGGTGGAGCATATGTGGTGGTGGTGGAGCATATGTGGTGGTGGTGGAGCATATGTGGTGGTGATATTATTAACTTCAATAATAAACAGATAAACTGGGAGCAAATCAACCAAGACTTCACAGAAATAAGCTGGGAAGAACAACTAGAAAATGCAAACCTGAACCAGTGCCTGGAAAAAATAAGCTCAGTAGCACTAGAAATATGTTCAAACCGCATACCCCTAAGAAAAAAAAAGAGGAAAAGATGCAGACTGGAACGGGAACGTCGTTCCCTCTATAGGCGAAGAAAACGAATCGCGGAACTACTTGAGAGTCGCACCCTATCTCAAGAACGGCGAAATAGTTTAGGTAGAGAAATAGAAACGATTGAACTCAAGCTACATGAATCATACAAAACCCAGGAGAGGCAAAGAGAGCAAAAGCCATCTGTGAAAGAGAGAAATCCGAAATATTTTTCTCCTATGCAAAATCAAGATCAAAAACCACATCTAGTATCGGGCCCCTGCGAAAGGGAGACGGAACTTTCACCGATGACAACAAAGAAATGAGCGAGCTACTGAGGAAGCAGTACGACTCTGTTTTCAGCGAGCCATTAAACACACTAAAGATTGTTAACCCAAATGAATTTTTCATGGATATGATACAACATCAAATCATATATCAGATGTCACCCTATCCCCACTGGATTTTGAAGAAGCCATAAACAGTATGCCTATGCACTCTGCACCAGGCCCGGATTCTTGGAACTCCATATTCATCAAGAACTGTAAAGAACCACTATCGCAGGCCCTTCACATTTTTTGGAGACAAAGCCTAGATACTGGCGTTATTCCTGACATACTAAAAACAGCAGAGATAGCACCACTTCATAAAGGAGGAAATAAGCCAGAGGCAAAAAATTACAGACCGCACTAACATCGCACATCATAAAAATCTTTGAGAGAGTGCTAAGAAATAAGATAACAAAATACATGGAATCACAGCATCTCCATAACCCCGGACAACATGGTTTCAGAACAGGGCGCTCTTGCCTGTCGCAGTTGCTGGACCACTATGATATGGCATTAGATGCCATGGAAGACAAACAAAACGCTGATGTAATTTACACAGATTTCGTAAAAGCCTTCGATAAATGTGACCATGGTGTTATTGCACATAAAATGAGTTCAAAAGGAATTACCGGAAAAATAGGCAGATGGATCACAACCCAATGTGTAATAGTGAACAAAGCAAAATTCCGCCCATCAACCGTGAAGCGCTCAGTCCCCCAGGGTACTGTGCTTGCTCCAGTACTTTTTCTCATCCTCATATCGGACACAGACAAGGACACAATCTATAGCACTGTATCATCCTTTGCAGATGACACTAGGATTTTTATGAGAGTAGACAACATAGAGGACACGACAAACCTCCAATCAGATGTCAATCAGGTCTTTCTATGGGCTACAGAAAATAATATAGTATTTAACAAAGATAAGTTCCAGCTCATGCGCTACGGAAATAATGAAAATATTAAAACAGAAACCACGTACAAAACTCAGTCAAATCATAACATAGAACGAAAAGGCAATGTAAAGGATTTGGGTGTACTGATGTCGGAAGACCTTACCTTTAAAGAACACAATAAAGTAGCCGTCACAACTGCAAGGAAAATGACAGGTTGGATAACAAGAACTTTTCACACTAAAGATGCTATACCGATGATGATACTCTTCAAGACGCTAGTGCTCTCTAGAGTGGAGTACTGCTGCACAATGACGGCCCCTTTCAAAGCTGGAGAAATTGCTGACCTGGAGAGCGTGCAAAGATCCTTTACTGCTAGAATCAACTCAGTAAAACATCTAAACTACTGGGACCGACTAAAGAGCCTAAATCTGTATTCTCTTGAGCTCGGGCGGGAGAGATATATAATAATCTATACGTGGAAAATATTAGAGGGGCTGGTCCCAAACCTGCACACAGAAATAACATCACATGAGACCAGGAGGCATGGCAGGATGTGCAGAATACCCCCGTTGAAGAGCAGAGGTGCAACAGGTACTCTGAGAGAGAACTATCAACATCAGAGGCCCGAGACTGTTCAACACGCTTCCACTACACATAAGGGGCATAACTGGCCGACCCCTCACAGTGTTCAAGAGAGAACTGGATAAACACCTTCAAAGGATACCTGATCAACCAGGCTGTGATTCATACGACAGGCTGCGAGCAGCCGCGTCCAACAGCTTGGTTGACCACTCCAGCTACCAGGAGGCCTGGTCGACGACCGGGCCGCGGGGACGTTAAGCCCCGGAAATACTCCAAGGTAAGGTGGAGTAGCGTGTGGTGGTGGAGCATATGTAGTGGTGGTGGTGGAGCGTGTGTGTGGTGGTGGAGCGTGTGTGTGGTGGTGGAGCATATGTGGTGGTGGTGGTAGTAGAGGGATGTGGTGTATCTGGTGTACGACACAATAGTATGGTTGTGGTGGTAGTGTAGGTGGTGAATATGGTGCAGGTCAATGAGGTGAGTGTTGGTGAGCCCCTCCCCCGCCACCCTTGCAGTAAGAGGGGTTCCAGCGTGTGTCTTGGGAGGGCAGGTGTGGTGTGGAACCAGGCGTGTGGCGTGGGAGGGCAGGCGTGGGAGCGGGCTTGTGGCGTGGAAGGGCAGGCGTGGGAGCGGGCTTGTGGCGTGGAAGGGCAGGCGTGGGAGGGCAGGCGTGGGAGGGCAGACGTTGGAGCGGACGTGGGACGGCGGGCGTGGGAGGGCAGGCGTGGAAGCGGGCGTGGGAGCGCAGGCGTGGAAGCGGGCGTGGGAGGGCAGGCGTGTGGCGTGGGAGGGCAGGCGTGTGGCGTGGGAGGGAAGGCGTTGGAGCAGGCGTATGGCGTGGGAGGGCAGGCGTGTGGCGTGGGAGGGAAGGCGTAGGAGCAGGCGTATGGCGTGGGAGGGCAGGCATGAGAGCGGGCGTGTGGCGTGGAAGGGCAGGCGTGGGATGGGGGGTCGTGTGGCGTGGGAGGGGGGTCGTGTGGCGTGGGAGGGGGGTCGTGTGGCGTGGGAGGGGGGTCGTGTGGTGCGGGAGGGCAGGCGTGGAAGGGGGGTCGTGTGGTGCGGGAGGGCAGGCGTGGAAGGGGGGTCGTGTGCCGTGGGAGTGCAGGCGTGGGAGCGGGCGTTTCCACGCCCCAAGATCACCATATTTTTACAGTCCATGGCCAGTCGCCTCAGACAGTCACCTCCATCTTTAAGCCTGCTTTCCAGCCACGCCCACGCCCCGGCCCTCAAGCCACGCCCACGCCCCGGCCCTCAAGCCAAGCCCACGCCCCGGCCCTCAAGCCACGCCCACGCCCCGGCCCTCAAGCCACGCCCACGCCCCGGCCCTCAAGCCACGCCCACGCCCCGGCCCTCAAGCCCCGCCCACGCCCCGGCCATCAAAGCCAAGCCCACGCCACCTTCCAGTCCGGTAAATACGCCCATAACTGCAATACGACTATGATAACACTACAACAATAGTCTTCACTATTAATCTACTTCGTTTTCTTCTCAACTTAATGAGTGTAAAAGATAATGGAAGATGATTTGGCTTGGGTACGAATCCCGGCCGGGGAGGATTGATTGGGCGCTAATCCTTAACTGTACGCCTATGTTCACCCCGCCGCGATTGGGTACCTGATTGTTAACCGATTGGAAGGTTCTATTCCAGGGAAAATTGGTGTAGGGGAGAACACGTTCATTACGTGTACTGTATTGGGCAGTGCATACGTCGGTGTGACCACCACCAAATGTATTCATCGAGTGCCTGGGAGTCGGCGCGAGTGCCTGGGAGTCGGCGCGAGTGCCTGGGAGTCGGCGCGAGTGCCTGGGAGTCGGCGCGAGTGCCTGGGAGAGGAGTGACAGGTGGGGGCTGGAGAACATTGACCAGGGCGGACACAGCGACCATCACCCCCAAGAACCATCCAAACTTGGTCACTTCCTGGCGGCTGCACCTCCCCCCCCCTTTCTCCCAGCCCCCCCTTTCTCCCAGCGCGCCCAGCCCCCCCCCTTTCTCCCAGCGCGCCCCGCCCCCCTTTCTCCCAGCACCTCCCCGCCCCGCCCTAACAAAGACGAGCTGGTGGAGCACATAATCTCACATTCCAGAGATCTGCTTCAACTTGTTTTGACCCGACCTTTGGCGACCTTCCCCCTCCCCCCTGCCCCTCACAACTTCTTCCTTGTTTCCCGTTCTCCCCCCTCACCCCGGAACCCCATCCCCCCCTATCCGTCCCTCACCGCAGTACACCATCCTTCCCCTCCTACGGAACATCATCTCTTCCTCGATACTTGCTTGATGGGGTCCTGGGAGTACTACTCCCCCAAGCCCGGCCCAGACCAGGCTTGACTTGTGAAAGCTCGGTTACCTTGAGGTGTTTTCGTTGCTTAGCGTCTCCGCGGCCCGGTCGTCGACCAGGCCTCCTGGTTGGTGGACTGGTCAACCAGGCTGTTGGACGCGGCTGCTCACAGCCTGGCGTATGAGTCACAGCCTGGTTGATCAAGTATCCTTTGGAGGTGTTTATCCAGTTCTCTCTTGAACACTGTGAGGGGTCGGCCAGTTATGCCCCTTATGTGTAGTGGAAGCGTATTGAACAGTCTCGGGTCTCTGATGTTGATAGTTCTCTCTCAGAGTACCTGTTGCACCTCTGCTCTTCAACGGGGGTATTCTGCACATCCTGCCATGTCTTCTGGTCTCATGTGGTGTTATTTCTGTGAGCAGGTTTGGGACCAGCCCCTCCAATATTTTCCACGTATAGATTATTATATATATCTCCCGCCTGCGCTCAAGACAATACAGATTTAGGCTCTTTAGTCGGTCCCAGTAGTTTAGATGTTTTACCGAGTGGATTCTAGCAGTAAAAGCTAGCTGCACGCTCTCCAGGTCAGCAATTTCTCTAACTTTGAAAGGGGCCGTCATTGTGTAACAGTATTTCACTCTAGAGAGCACTAGCGTCTTGAAGAGTATCATCATTGGTATAGCATCTCTAGTCTGAAAAGTTCTTGTTATCCAACCTGTAATTTTTTCTTGCAGTTGTGACGGCTACTTTATTGTGTTCTTTAAAGGTAAGGTCTTCCGACATGAGTACACCCAAATCCTTTACATTGCTTTTTCGTTCATTGTTATGAATCGACTGCGTTTTGTACGTGGTTTCCGTTTTAATATTTTCATTTTTTCCGCAGCGCATGAGCTGGAACTTATCTTCATTAAATACCATATTATTTTCGGTAGCCCAATTGAAAGACCTGATTTACATCTGATTGGAGGTTTGCTGTGTTCTCTATGTGGTCTATGCTCGCTGGGAGGACGTTGAACAATCGCGGACCTCAGATATTTACAGTGTTCTCTCACTGTGCCTATGGCACCTCTGCTCTTCACTGGTTCTATTCTGCATTTTCTTCCATGTCGTTCACTCCAGTATGTTGTTATTTTACTGTGTAGATTTGGTACTTGGCCCTCCAGTATTTTCCAGGTGTATATTATTTGGAATCTCTCTCGTCTCCTTTCTAGTGAGTACATTTAGAGAGTTTTGAGACGATCCCAATAATTTAGGTGCTTTATCTCATCTATGCGCGCCGTATATGTTCTCTGTATTCCCTCTATTTCAGCAATCTCTCCTGCTCTGAAGGGAGAGGCGAGTACTGAGCAGTACTGAAGACGGAACAGCACAGGTAATTTGAAGAGTACAACCATTGTGATGGGATCCCTGGATATGAAAGTTCTCGTAATCCATCCTAACATTTTTCTGGCTGATGCAATATTTGCTTGGTTATGCTCCCTAAACGTTAGGTCGTTGAGTATACCCTGGGGAGGGGGGGGGGCCACCTCTTGGGCCTAATTTAGGCCTGTACGGAACCCAAAGCTGATCCTCTTCCTGTAGCAGTTGGGAATTATCTTCCCCTTCCTCTATACCTACCTCTTTTCATTTATCTTCAGGAGGGGGAGGGGGGGGTCATTGACATTTAAAAACAAAAAAAAACTAGTGGAGCCAACCCCCACCAACTCCAAAACACTTATACAGTACACGGTTACAAGGTTAATAACATCAATTAGAAACCAAACTATCACCCCCTTCCCTCCTCCTCCTCCAAACTGTTAGCTGATCTCGGAACCAGCACTTGCCGGGGGGGGGGGAAGCCTGCTAGGTGTGGAGGACACGCCACAGGTGTGGGGGAGACGCCACAGGTGCGGTCGCTTTGAATGACAGGTGACACGCGCAGGTGTTCCGGATGACTGGTATGGATAGTAAACATCTTGTTTCTGCCTCTCCCTCTCACACCCTCTCCATCCCCTCCCCCCCTTCTCTTGTCCGCCTATCCCCCTCTTCTCCCCCATTCCGTCCACGGTTTAGGTAAACAGTCAAGAGATCAGGAGGATGAACTTATGGAGTAAACAGTTTGTAATTGACCTCCGCCCCCCCCCCTCCGCCCCCCCTCCCCCCATGACAGACGCTGAGTGAATGTATCATCAGCAACCTTAGGTAATGAAGGGGCTGTCACCGGTCAACTGGTCAACACGCTTTCTAAGTTGTCAGCATGTCTGACAAGCCTCCTGCCACCAGTACATGCATGCCTGGTCATGATGTAGTCACCTAGTTGCATTCACCTACTTGTGCTTGTGGGGGTTGAAGTGTGACTTTCGGCCCGCCTCTTAACTGTCAATCAGGTCCCCCTCCCCCTCACACACACACACACACACACACACACACACACACACACACACACACACACACACACACTCAGGAAGCAGCCCGTAACAACTTTAACTCCCGGTAGTTATTTACTGCTAAGTGAAAGAAACTGCCCATTTGTCTGCGCCATCGCCGAAGATCGATCCCAGGACCCTAGGATTACGAATCCCGAGCGCTGTTCACTCAGCCACCAGGCCCCCCGAGTGTGAGAATTGAGCGGAGCTTGGGTAGTGATGGAGGGGGGGGGGGGAGGGGTAGTGATAGTTACGCCAGCGAGGGATCCGGCAGACTTACCATCTCCTGTGAAAGCCGTGACTGTCTTCAGTGCGATGTGTGTGATGTTGTCTGGCCCGTCCCCAGGGCGCGCGGGCTCGGGCGCGTAGAACAACTCTCGAACCCTCTCCAGGTGTGTCAATGTCCATCAGTAGGTGCTGACCTTCAACAAGGGTATATCTTGAGTTATCTTGAGATAACTCAAGGGTAGGGTAGGCCCAGCTTAGCATCATAGATCTCCTACTGCCCGAAACCCTTTGCGTAACAGTGGCTTTAGGCATTGCATGTACTAACTCTATCTATAAATCCATCAACTTTTGTATCTTACTTTGTATGTATGTACCTTATCTCAAGATATATACCTTACCTGAATAAAAATTTATTTATTATTTTATTTTATTTTTTATTAAATCTTAGATAAATTTCCATCTTGAAGTATCTCTGGTCATCGCCCAGTGAGTACCTGTCATCAACGAGGTGAACTGCCTTGTTACAGTTCCTCAAACAATTCTCCAGCATTAATTTGTCTAATGCAAAAGTCAGTGTATTGAAAACGTTAAATGAAAGACAATCTTCGGCCTGAGAAGTAATTATCAAATGCCACGCCTCAAGAAATTCATCAATAATCCTCTACAGTAAATATCAAATCACTGATTTAATACGTAAAGTAATTCAACATCAGGCCAAAAATGTTTATCAAAAGGGTTTTGATAAAACCATTTCGGAAAATGGTGGTTTTCTAAATAATATATACATGAAAGATACTGGAAGACCAGGTACCTAATTTGCACTGTAGAATAACAACATACTGGAGTGAAAGACAAGGAAGGAAATGCAGAATAGAACCAGTGAAGAGCAGAGGTGTCATAGACACAGTCAGAGAACACTGTATCAACATCAGAGGTCCACAGCTGTTCAACACCCTCCCAGCAAGCATTAGAAATATTGCTGGAACAAAGGAGGATGTATTCAAGAGGCACCTGAACAGGTTCCTGCAAGGAGTGCCGAACCAACCAGGTTGTAGTGGATATGTGGGCCTGCGGGCCGCTCCAAGCAACAGCCTGTTGGACCAAGTTATCACAAGTCGAGCCTGGCCTCGGGCCGGGCTCGGGGAGTAGAACACCTCATGAAACCCTCTCCAGGTATCCGGGATCACCATAGCCCGTGCTACCTGGAAATTTTAGTTCCGAGGAACTAAATCTAAACCAGCAACAACTCTCCAGGAATGATGGAGGGAGCTGGGGATGGGAGGGTAGGGTGATGGAGGCAGCTGGGGATGGGAGGGTAGGGTGATGGAGGGAGCTGGGGATGGGAGGGTAGGGTGATGGAGGGAGCTGGGGATGGGAGGGTAGGGTGATGGAGGCAGCTGGGGGTGGGAGGGTAGGGTGATGGAGGGAGCTGGGGATGGGAGGGTAGGGTGATGGAGGGAGCTGGGGGTGGGAGGGTAGGGTGATGGAGGGAGCTGGGGATG